TTTTCCAAAGGCGAACGGCAAAATAAGGGTATATTTGGGATTATGAGAAAAATAGAAAACTCCTCATTAAAACCTTACTACATTAACTTAAGATACCATTTTAGTGGCTGAATATACCTTATTAAATGCACACTAACAAATTAATTTAAGATGTATAATGATGATATGTGATGAATGAGAATGATAGAATGATAATGAGAGAAAGGATAATAACAAATTAAGTATTAATATAAAGTTGAAAAGAGAGGAGAATGTTAAGTAAAGAGATAAATATTATTTCTTCTATTTCAGAATAATAAACATGTATGTTATTTTTGATTTTGATGATTTAAAACCCAATATAAATGAAAATATACACTTGATTTATTTCTAATATTTTTTATTTGATTTTCATATTTCTTCAAATATACTCTTTTAATGTATTCCCTTTTATATGAAAGTCAAATTAATTATGTGATTTCTTATTCAATATGTTTTCTTTTATGGTAAAAAACAAAAACAAAAACAAAAATTGCATTTTTTGGTTGAGGTTTCAACCCCAAAGACTAAGGTTTGAAACCCCTAATGCGTTTGACCCTTCTTAATCTGTTTGTCATGATTCAAGTTCCAATCCCTTCATTTCAAGTAACAAAACCATGAATCTATTTGTGCTATGAAGAAAACAACAGAGGGTCCAACCTCTAGAGTCAAGTTTCGACCCCTCAATACTGAGATCTTGAATAACTTGCCAAAATTGGAATAGATTCTCTCTAATTGAGCTCCAATAGTCATAAACCAATGATTGAGCAACCTTAGAGCACAAAAACAAATATGGAAGTAGGGGATGGGTGAACAAGAAGAGCATTCAACTTGAGAAACCAAGATAGATTAATGCTTTCACTCCCCTTCTTTGAGAAATCAACCTTTTTCTAGACTCGTCTTGTTTTCTTTCATTATAACAAGTGAGAAAAGGTTTGGGGGAAACGTTGTTAGATCTAGTAATTCATCCTTGAAGTATAGAAAGGGTTGAGAGATTTGTAACAAGGAAATTAAATGGTTGATAACACTAGCAAGCTATTGTAATTAGTTTCATTTGCACTCATTAAAGCTAGTGTTAGTGAATTGAATATCAAGTGTAGGAAACTTGAGGACTGGACATAGGCTTCAAAGAGAGTGACAAACCAAGATAAATCAAAACGTTTGATATTTCTAACTCTACCCTTCTAATTTATGCATTTTATTTACTTGAGTTTCTAATTGCTTGTGTTTATTTATAGTTTTGTTTATGAAAATTACGTAGGGTTTTTGCAACTCAATTCACCTCACTGTTAGGTTGCCATCATCTAAAACATTCTTTTGCTTTCCTCTTGGGATTAAAGATTTGGGGATAAATTTTTTTACCTATTTTACCCTTAAAAAATAAAAATAAAGAAATTTTTTTTTCTAATATGATATATAGATAATTAAAGTTAAGAGATAATCATGAGTTAAAATAAGGAAAAATTATTTGTCTCCCCCTTAAAATATAAAAAAACAAGTATTATTCTAGGATGGAGGGAGTGTGATAGAATGTGAGAGGAGAACCTAAGAGTGAAGTCATAAGAAAAAATAATGAGAGGTGAAGTAAATATAAGAGAAAAAGAATTAAAAGGAAAATGCTAATAAGCTGCACCTATTATATTTTAATTTAACACATTTTTAATATAGACATGTAAGAGAAAGATTAAGATAAAAAAGAAATATATAATAATATCTAGAGATGCAAGAAATGACTAAAAGAGAAATAGAAAGAAAAGGATAAGAGCAAGAAGAATAATAAAAATAATAAATTACTATCTAGAGAGGGGAAAGAGATAGTGAATGTCAAGTAGAGAAACAAATATAACAACAACTTGTTGATTGAGAAACCGTGAAATAGAGTTACAAGAAAAATAATTGGAAAAATGGAGTAAAAGCAATTGAAAAAATAACGAGGGAATAATACCAAGAAGTTGCACCTTTTTTGTTTTGACATAGATTTCTTATAATAAAAACAATTAGAAATAGAAGAATAAAGGTAAGTGTATAGGATAAAACAAAGAAGGGAAGAAGATATATAATGATAAATAAAAATACAAGAAATTTTTAAGAAATAATAATAGAAATAGTAGTAGTGGAGTACAATTAAAGAAAGAATTATATGTAGGGTAGAAAAATAATTATAATAATATAAAATGTTAAGGTGGAGGCTGACAAGTGGTATAAGTGATTAGGAAAGAACAATATTGAAGGAAATATAAGTGTGATAAAATAATAATAAATAACAAAAGTTATTAATATAAAGAGAGAAAGTGAAGGTGGGTGTAAGTTTAAAAGATAATTATAATCGTAAAATTTGAATGGTAAGCCAAAAGACGGGTTCCTAAGAAAAATAATGAAAAGTAGAGTAAAAGTATGTGAAAATATACTAAAATAATAATAATAGGAAGTTACACATTTTATATTTTAATATAGACTTTTCTAATACGGACAACAGAGCTAAGGAAAAAATTAGAGTAAACATAAGGAATATATAATAATATATTGAGACGTAAATAGATGTTTGCCACACTGTCGGTCTTCAATCAGCTTGAGGGGGCTTGGCCGATTAGGCATTATTCAATTTATTAACGTGATAATAAATTATTAAAATTTATTTTCATTTTTAAAATTCAATTAATTAAATTTATGCACTTAAATCTTTTTTTTATTTATTAATCAGTTTCTTTTACGAATTAATATATTTAAAATTATTAATTATCAAAAATATTTTAAAATAAATTTATAAATAATAAT